GTGTGTGTGTGTGTGTGTGTGTGTGTGTGTGTGTGTGTGTGTGTGTGCGTGTGTGTGTGTGTGTGTTGGCAGAGGAATTTTTTCCTGCGAAGCCGGAATCAGTTAATATAAACACATGGATGGAGGTCAGAGAAGGTGCAGGTGAACTCTGCTGCCATCAGCGCTCAAACCTCCAACTTTCCCCGACTCTGACCCCTCTCACCCGTCCTCCTGATCCGACCCCCCCACACACACACCAAACATCTGACTTTGTTTTCTGTTTCTCGTCTCCGTCTCAAATGGCCGACAACTGATCTTTTGAAATGTTAAATAACTTTTTACAGTGTAATTTAAAATACAGTATTACATTTTTTTTAAGCCCTCTAAGTAAATGTTAAGGCACACAAATCAATAGAACCCTGGTCCGGGTTCAGCAGCCTGGATTGAAGTAACATAAAGTTTCAGAATTTTTTTCTTTATTTTGTCCCTTAAAACCATCAAATGTGAAAACTCAAATCAATTCAAAGCCGAACCGGCCTTTCATGCCAGACAGAGATAGTCTCGTTGAAAAATGACAGAGTTGTAAACATTTGAGTAAAACCTTGATAATATTGTAATGCACAATGTGATGCGATACAGGGCCGGTTCTAGGAAAGCCTAATTGAAGGGGCAGGCAGAAACATGAAGGGGGCATCATGCATACACATCATGTTCGAGCATATTTGTTGTTGTTTTTGTTGTTGATTAGTGTTTTCCTCATGGGACTGTGCTGTTACCATAGAGTTATATGCAACACTAGAGGGCGCTCTACTTACGTGACCGTGTGATTCACTGCTGCAACAACGGCCATTACCAAACCTGCCAAATGTCTGTGTTTTGACTAAATAGCCCTGAGTAACAGGTGACTAGGGCATTAACAGAGTACTCGAGTAATCTACACATCGATTGCTAGGACATCTATCGAGGTTAAAAATGTAACGTTGAGTACCCGTAGTGACGTCATATTATGTGACCACCGTATGACCTTAGGGGGCGGTGTTGCACTGTTGCAGGTCACAGAGTATGGTGTAACACCGGGTCCAATCCACAGAACCAGAACCAGCTTCCTCTGACCTTGTTTCACAAACAAAGAGCAAAAAATATTAATCTCTAAACCTATAAAAAAAATCTATAAACATATTAATCTCTAAAACTAAACCTAATGTGCACCACAGCTGGCGGTGGTGCGGGGTGGTCGACCCCCCCCACACACACACACACACTTTTTTTAAGTTTGGTTCCTGTCGTGCTGCACGTTTCTTCACGTTTGCAGTTTAATAATAATAACTAATAGTTTAGTTTTTCCTGTGATTTATTTGCAGTAAGATAAATGGTAGGAGCATAATATACGCTCCCAATGTTTTGTTGGTCTTTTTTTTGTAAATAATTACCTTTTTTTGCAGTTTTATTTATGTATTTATTTTGGTATCTTGAGATCTATGACGTTATCAAATACTCGAGTTCTACTCGGGTTTTATTATGGTAATGTCGAGTTTAAAAATTATATACTTGTTCAACCCCTACAGGTGACTATGTATAAAATGTATGTAATATAATAATAATATAATATTAGAATTTGTATAAAATGTAAAAATGCCAGAAAGCTGTGTGTTCTATGGATGTAGCAACAGAAGAGAAAAGTGAAAACGTCTCCATTCACAAGTCAGCAGATTTGATCTTATTTACCTCAGTGTGACGTGATTCAATCAGAAATGAAGCTAACAACATAACCGTTTAAAGCATCTTATAAAGTTGAAGTAATGGCTGTTAATTATTGAATTGTCTCAGACACTGCTCTGCTGCACAGACTGAATCATGCTACAGTTTAGTACAAATGATAAAATACTACAAGCTGATGTTTCCTCCAGTAACAGCTCATTGTCTGCTCTCTGCATGAATTCTGACAATGCTCTTTTAAAGTTTAGCTATAGATCAGACACTGATCACTGCGATCAGCTGCAGCTAGCAGAGTCTACATGCAGACAATTGATTTTTAAAAGTTACCTTTCAAATTCATCAACTAGTTGGTCATATTATTAAACCAACTACAACTCTTGAAATCATTGCATCATTAGTTAGACCAAATATATTTCCCTTCTATAACATCCAGCTGTTTTACATGATTCTTGTATAAAAGAACATTAATTATAAATTATACGTATAAAGACATTAAAAATAATTTGGGACACGGATCCAGTTGGACTTGCTGTTAATTAAACAGTTGTTTGTCGGCTGGGAGCAGCAGCCTGTTTCCTGTATCGGACTCCATCTTTGCTCCTCCATGATGCACACAACCCCCCACCATCTCCCGACCACAATAAGGTGGCAAACCCTAAGGGGTGGCGTGGGGGGACAGGAAATTAATTAAAAAAATGAAAATAAGAAAAAGAAAAATATCCTTCATGCAAGTTTTAACAACCAACAACATACAGTAATATTAATCGGATGGCCATGAGGCATCTCTTAAATCAATTTGAACCTATAATAACAAAAACCTCAAAAATAATAATATTAATGTAAAAAATCACCAATGATTTTTTCAAACAAACAGAATCAAGAAACAGCATACACAGCATCTATTGGGCTGAGAAGGGGTAGAGGTAGGGCGGCCGACCTGGGACCAGATAGCCACGGGTCGACTCCCCGCCATGCCCACATGTGGTGTCCTTGAGCAAGGCACCTAATCCCTAACTGCTCCACGGATGCTGATCGTGCACTGCGCCACCTGAGTGTATCTCAGGTGTGAGGGGTTAAATGCAGAGAACTCATTTCATCACTGTATGGGAACATAATGATGAGGACAACACATTAGCACTAACATAAAACAAACACTTCATATATATTTTGTTGTTTATATCCTGATACATGCTCAATAATCCAGGTAGAAAAATCTAAAAAACTTAAGTCTGGTCCTCTGGACATTCAAAAAACAAAACAAAACAAAAAATTTATCCATCCATCCATTATCTTTTACCCGATTCTTCCATTTTGGGTCACGGGGGTCGCCGGTGCCCATGTCCAGCAATCACTGTGCGAGGGGTGGGGGACACCCTGGACAGGTCTCCAGTCCATCACAGAGACACACGAGACAAACAACCATTCACTCTCTCACTCACACCTAGGGACAATTTAGAGTTACCAATCAGCCTAACATGCATGTTTTTGGTCTGTGGGAGGAAACCGGAGTACCCGGAGAAAACCCACGCATGCACGGAGAGGACATGCAAACTCCACCCAGAAGGGCCCCCGGACCGGGATTTGAACCAGGGACCTTCTCGCTGAGAGGCAGCAGCTCTACCAGTTGTGCCACTG